GGGGTTCGACTGTAGTATGCTAATGCAATGCTGCAATCTGATTGGCTGAGCTACTCGTACAATATATCAGCCATTGGAGTGCAGTGGCCCTCGGTCATCTACGAAATGCCGACGATTTTTCGTTTTCCCGAAGTTTTAGAGGAACATTTAGATCCAAACGGGTAATTAAATTCCTAAGAAGACTAAAAGAAGGACATTAACAGTTTCTTGACATTAAAAACTTGAAATTATTGAAAAAACAGGTGCGTGCGCATAGACAACTGCAAATTTGCAATGACAATTCAGTGCGTGCGAATTTGTTACAGCACGAAGCTTAATAATACGTGAGAAAAACAATTGGAAACCTTTATTGGCGTTAATTTCAGTTAGAATTCTACTAAAACAATTAGATTATGAGCTCGAGATTTCAATGAGGTGACATTTTATTCGGCCTTTGATCTCATCAACTATCACCTCATATAAATCTCGAGCCCATAATCTAATTGTTTATTATTAAGTCTTTTCCGTCATGCAGAGCGTTCCTTCAATCAGCCTTATCCAGGATCCCAAGCTAAGCGCTGCAAGAAATATTGCAAATACCTCGCAGGTTCCAGCATAATGTGCGGTTTTCTAACAGCGTCCCAACCGGTATATCAAAAAGATAGGTTCTAAAGTAAACGTTATTCTGAGTCACCGCGCAAGTGAAACATTTCATGAGTGCTTCAACAAAGGACTCACGCTCAATTCGCCAGCTTTTCTACATTTGCTGTGGCAGTAATTAATTTCGCTTTATGAACTTCAAGTTGATAATCAACTTAGGCGTCCCGTAAATGGTATCTATTTACACCCCCAGGTAGAGAGAGGCATTGTTAAACCCGTGAAAGGGTTACCGTCACCAAAAGAAACGGAGGCTCTGGGGACGAGAATAGGGAGTTTACGAAACCACGACGGCAACGGCAACGGGAACGTCACTGAACAATTATTGAGCAGTACAATGGCTGTGCACGTGTGTTATAATTCTTGGTACATTTCTTTGCTGTTCTCTGCAAAACAGCAACGTGAAATGACCAAATTTTGCGTTGTCTGGAGAACGTGAACCACGACGGCTAATTTTTTAAATTTATTATTTCAAATTTATCGCTGTGTTCCGGATTTAGTTTTGCGATAGTTCTGACAGTGATAAACAAAGTAAATGAGTTAAGAGTATGGCGAGATTCGTAGGTGATATAAAAATTCATTTTTTAATCGACTTGGTTTCGCAAGCTTCCTAATGCCTCCATACGCAGTCGCGAGACGCTCTTTGGGTTCGTCACGCAATCTTCCTCCCGCACGTGACGAGCCCAAAGAGCGTCTGGTGAATATTCAGAGTGATTAACCGATGAATCCAGAGAGGATTCATCGGTTCCTTTGATGCACCATGAGCCGCGTGATCTTGGATCACTGATCCTGATCCAGGTCAACCTAAAGGAACGCACCCTAAGAGACCAGGGGTGGAACCTGAACTGCTGGCAACCGCTTCATTCACAGGCATCAGAGTACAGTGAACTAAAGTGCGTCTGCCAGACGTACCACCATGACTTCTTCATTTGACTACATGGCTCCTTATTACCACCGATAAACATGTTTTCATTGTGCATGAAGGTTCTTTGACACTAAAAAGAACATTTCGGGAATGTCCCCTACTAGTCTCCTTCGCAGCCGTTGTTAGGGTCGTCACGCGACCCTAATAACGGCTGTAAAGGAGACTAGTCCCCTACCAGCCCCTCTCCCAATCAGGAGGATGAGCCTAGCCTCCCCTCCCTGACTCCCATCGTTGCTCTTCATCCGGGAACGTGTTGCTACGAACTTTTCGCGCCAAATTTCTTCACGTGAGACAACTGATCGCCGCGAACCTCGAAGAAAATGGATGTCGCTGATCGCACTACTGGAACTTCCCACGTTCGCGATGACCTCGCGGAGCGATGCCAAAAGTTATTTCAAGACTTTCTCGAAGAGTAAGTGCAATTTTGATTCACTGGTTCGAGAGATGTATGCATTCTTCAGCAAATGTGCCGAATCTTGTACACTTCATTCAACATGAATAATTTGTCCGATCGAGCCGCACATGGTTTGAAACCTGCAAATTTTTTATTAAGTTTTGCCTGTTTCTAGGAAATCGAACGTTCTTAGCTTTCCTTGTGGGTATAAATACGCTTGAATATGTTCTTTCTTTCGTCAATTTGAAATAAGGATGCCCCCAGCTTTTCAAGCTCCATGATTCACTTCTCTCTATTCAAAATAGGAAGATGAACTTCTAAATTTCTTTAACGGGAAAATACAAATTATCTAGACTACTGGGGTAGAAGGTGTTAAATGAATCAAGCTTGCCTCTAGATTGGAAGATAAAAGAAAGGTTCTCTATTTTCGAGTGCAATGGGAGAGTTTAATGGAATAAGTAGTACAATAATGAAGTTTATGTTTGTTCGTCGCTCTAAAACATGTCTGCTTGAATATTTCAGTCAGCTCTAGGCTTGTATTGGCTGGTGATGGTGCAAAAAGGTTTACTTCATTGCGATACAAACGTTTGGGCGTCCCTTGTCCTTAAATGTCATTACTATTATCTCCAACAAATAACATTATTAATGCATGTATATTAATATCTTTTGCAGATTTCAAGTTGATGGAGAAGAGAAATACCTTCCTGAAGTTCAAGAACTTATCAGACCTGAGCGCAACACATTAACTGTCAGTTATCAAGATGTGGAGTCCTACAATGCTCAGTTATCAACAATTATACAGGAGGAATATTACAGGTGAGAACACTGATGGTCACAGGACAACCACGTAACAAATTTATTTTGGGACTTTGCAGACCAGGAATACAATCATAATGGTTTTAAACCGACCGATGTGGAGTCCATAGTCATAAGATGAGGTAAAATATCAAATAAGTCATTGACAAAATCCTCCAGCCTGTTCATCCTAGTACATGAAAAAGTGCTTGGCACATAGTGCAATACTTGGGATGACTGTGTAGGGGGTGGTGGGGAGGTAGGGGAGGTGTGCATCGTGCCTGTACTGCAGGGAAAACATAGTTACCATCGTAATGTTCAGAACCCAGTAGAGCATGCGATGAACCTATTGCCTTCCAGAATTTTGTTATACTGTGAGAAATGATTAAATTAAAGTGAAAATGGACTCCAAAGTGTTTTTATCCACTATCAAATGCAACTTGGAAAGTAATGGAAAAAGCTCTTATGGTAAAGTGTGAAATGCATTGCAAAAGAAATATATATATGCAGGAGATATCATTTCACAACAAATTAAAGCAGGTTTTTTGATTGAAAATAGTTATGAAATAAATATGATCTCAATTAACGCTGCATTTGACTGCATGAGTCTGCATGGATTTTGCTACAAATTATCTAATCAAATGAGCTGTCTTTCAGAGTGTTTCCATATCTGTGCCGAGCTGTAAGAAACTTTGCAAGAGACAGAGGCCAAGTACCACCAACAAAAGAGTTTTATGTCAGCTTTACTGATCTTCCAACAAGACACAAGTGAGATAATTATGATGTAATATTTGTGCAGTAAAAGTGCAGTAAAAATGTTTCCCTGACTGATTTGTATGAAACTTGTTTTACTTTATATTCCTTTGATTGTAATCTAGGATTCGAGAGCTAACCAGTCAGAAGATCGGTACTTTACTCAGAATAAGTGGACAAGTTGTGCGGACACACCCTGTACATCCTGAGCTAGTGACCGGAACATTTATCTGTCTTGACTGTCAGACAGTCATCAAAGATGTAGAACAACAATTTAAATATACTCAGGTATGCATGAATGCTGTTAATCTTTTTCATATGTTCAAGAACTGAGTACACTGTACAACATAGACTCTATATTTTACCTACCATGATTCGTTTTGGTTTACAGTAAGTTGAGTTTTATCATATTGATCATGAGTTTTGAGTTCTAGTTGAAATCCATCACAATCCAAATCTGTCATTTTTGTTATGTTTGACAGCCCACAGTGTGCCGCAACCCAGTCTGTCAAAACAGGGCAAGATTTATGCTTGACATCAACAACTCACGCTATGTGGATTTTCAAAAAGTTCGTATACAAGAAACACAAGCAGAGTTACCCAGAGGAAGCATTCCCAGAAGGTTTGTTGATATGTATATTTTATTTCTTAGTAATATGATGGTGGAATCAACAATGCAGTTGTTCCTGATTAGCGTCAATAACATTTTGTGGTTTTATACCTAATTATACCGCTTTGGTATGCCTTGTTGTAATTTGCTATTAAATTGGAAGGAAACAAAATGAACTTGCCAAGTTTATTATTAATAATCATTTTTTTTTTAGCGTGGAAATAATCCTAAGAGCCGAAGCAGTCGAACAAGCGCAAGCTGGAGACAAGTGTGACTTCACTGGGACGTTGATAGTTGTTCCAGATGTGGCACAGCTTTCTACACCAGGTAGGTACAAAAAAATGTTGCTGAAATGTTCCACTGTGCGCTGAGATACACGTGGAGTTGAGATAATGATAGAGTTTACCTCTGCATTGAGATAGATTAAGTCAAATTTTCAGTAACAACACCTCTTTGTCCCATATTCATGTCATGTTGATCAATTCACCTTTCGCATTTCATTACCAAGCTTAAAATCTTTATTCACTTATCAATACCTTGAGTAGATGGTGAAAGGTTGCTCATTATTTTGTCTGGTGATCATGCATGTTTAGGTGCAAGGGCTGAATCTTCTGGAAGACAGACATCTGGTGAAGGCTATGAAGCAGAGGGTGTAAGGTAATTTATTTATTTATTTATTTATTTATTTATTTTTGTTTGTGGTTTCACTATACCTAGTAATTTTAAGAGTTCTATTAGGAATCCGAAAATCTCTAAGTAAGATTTTAATAATTAGGAAAAATTGCTTTAAAACAACTGTCTTTAACTTGATCAGCAATTTTACATTAATTCGTGAAGTTCTACTAAATCACAATTAATTTATTTATAGGGGTCTAAAGGCTCTCGGAGTACGAGATTTGACCTACAGACTTGCCTTCCTAGCGTGCAGTGTCCAAGCAACAAATCCAAGGGTAAAGGTTATTTTATTGAATAATTTAGCTTTCCGACAAGAAAAGTTTATGCAGTTCTTGATAGAGTTGCACTGGACTGAAAGTGGATTTAATCTTTTTTTTTTTTCCAGTTTGGTGGTAAAGATCTTGATGGTGATGATGTCACAGCAGAGACAATCAAAAAACAGATGACAGACCAGGAGTGGCAAAAGATCTATCAAATGAGCAAAGACAAGAATCTTTATCAAAACTTGATCAACAGCATATTCCCTACAATTCATGGTAAGCTGATAGATAGTTTTGACTCTACAAATTTAACTTTTACAGTCTTAACGAGGATCTCACATTGATTCTATTGTATTATCACTAAAATATGAATCGAGAAACTTCTTGAAATATTTTATTGAAATCAATCAAGTCAGTAATAATTTATTAGCAGTTTTAACAGGCTAGGTTGGTGGTGGCCAAAAAAGTTGGAATAGTGATTTTAAAATATAAATGCTTATAAATCAACAGTGTGTATTTAGAGATGAACACCAACAACTTTTCTAATTCAGCAATGTTAATGATTTTACATACAGCATATCATTTGTCCTCTTGCATTTGCACGGTCATTGCACCTTCAGTTTAAGTCTTCATTCTTTCTTACATCAAGCTGATAAAGCTTCACTGTTTTCAGGAAATGATGAGGTCAAACGCGGTGTGCTTCTTATGTTGTTTGGTGGAGTTCCGAAAGTCACGACGGAAAAAACTAACCTTAGAGGGGACATCAATGTCTGTATTGTTGGAGATCCCAGCACAGCTAAGAGTCAAATACTCAAGTAAGATACATTCATGACTTCTGCTTTCTCTTTGGTGCACACTCGCACCCCTCAAAGTAAGGTAAAGGTAAAGTCTGCATACAAGCCAAGTAGCCCATCAGACCAAAGCCTATCCCAGTTTCTGTTGCATGATGCAACTAGGAATATTTCTACTCCCCCCTGAATGGTATGCTAGTCCATCGCAGGCCCATCCCCAGCATTATATTTTTCGTTACCCATTTGTACACCTGGTTGGAGAGATGGGTTATGAGAGTAAAGGGTCTTGCCCAAGAACACAGGACAATGTCCCAGGCCAACTTGGCTCCAACCTGGACTGCTCGATCCGGAATAGAGGGCTCTAACCATGAGGCCACCACACCCATACACCCATCCCCTCAAAGTTGCGTACTTGAATATTTCTCTTTGTGTAATTTTGTTGATAGGCACATAGAAGAGTTCAGTGTCAGGGCAGTGTATACTTCTGGGAAAGCTTCTAGTGCCGCAGGTCTCACAGCTGCTGTTGTCAAGGACGAAGAGTCGTCAGAGTTCGTAATTGAAGCTGGAGCACTGATGTTGGCTGATAATGTGAGTTTTTTAAAATAAGACATATTAGGAATCTCAAGATTAAATCAAAGATGTTTGTGTGGTCATTTAAAAGTAAACTTGAGAAGAAAGGGAAAGAAAATAATGATGTAAAAAATATTTGCAAAAAAAAAAAAAAATTGCGATGAAAATGAAGTCTTATTAGCGGAACCCATGGAGAGGCCCTAAGTTGGTTTCTGCAAAAGAGAATCATAACATTTTTCTTTATCATAGGGTGTATGTTGCATTGATGAATTTGACAAGATGGATCCAAAGGATCAGGTTGCCATTCATGAAGCTATGGAGCAGCAAACTATTTCAATAACAAAGGCTGGAGTGAAGGTATTTACAAAAAGTTCATTTTATTCGACATGCGCGCATGCTGCAAGCCTTGGATGCAAGATAGTGACATTACTAAACAAAACTTCTTCTCAAGCGTTAAGGTTTTTTTTCTTGGAATGCAGTGCATAAATTAAGAATAATTAATTAAATATTGAAGTCGAGTACATGCAATGTTGATTGGAAGATGGTTTTCTTTCCCTAGGCTTCACTGAATGCTAGGACGTCCATTCTAGCTGCAGCAAACCCAATTGGTGGTCGATATGACAGAACAAAATCACTTAAGGTAAGTTAAGGTCACAGTAAATACATGTATAAATGGTATACATGTGTGACATTATCTTTTACCTTGACCAAGTGAATATGATTACTCTTGGTAAACTTCAAAATTCTCCTAATTTAAATGATGCAAAAACTATGAAAAGCAGTTGGGAGATTATGGATGCATTTAATGTTTACTATTTTCCTCATGTTTGCAGCACAATCTCAACATGTCAGCTCCCATCATGTCCAGATTTGATCTTTTCTTCATCCTTGTAGATGATTGCAACGAGGTATAGTGGCTGTTACATGTGTTAGTTTACAGTCAATTGAAAGAACATCCCAAACTCCCAACAGTGCTCAAAATTTATATATCACCAAGCAAACAGCGGTCAAAAATGGAGAAACCATCAACTAAGAAACAAAGAAATGCTCATTCTCATCCTCAGAGGCCATGCTCCTTTTGGTCAGCACCAAGAGTCGTGACCTTGGTCTGGACCCGATTTTCTGAGCATGCGCAGAGTTTTTATTTTGTATTCCCAGCCAATCAGATTTTCAGATTTGATGGAGAGTCTGTGAATCACGGACCTCCAGTGTTGGGCCAGCTCAGAGGTTACAATTCTTGGTGCTGACAAAAAGGAGCGTGGCCTCTGGGGACGAGAATGAGAGATGCCAATCTAAAAAAAAAAACACAAAAACGTACAGATCAGCAATTTTGCATGACGGTGTGTACTTCTTGTTGCCAAAATGGGAGTTTAAAAAACCTGTCCAAAAGACTGGAAGATTTGTTCTGTATCTGTGAGACTCCACAATGATTTACATGAGAACATTGTCTTGATGTATAGCCAGATTATCAAAACTAAAATTGAGAGTCAGAATATTTTGGAATTTGGGAGAATTGATATTTCGAGATTGAGACTTATTAAACAGTTTCATAGAAACTGAGGAAGACAGTGTTTTAAAAATTAAATGGTTTTATATTGATTTGTTGTGGTTTCTTCTCGCCTCCTTGCAGGTAACAGACTATGCCATTGCACGGAGAATAGTTGATCTACACAGCAGGCTTGGAGAAGCTGTGGAAAGGATTTACAGTGTGGTGGGTTTATGTTCTTTTGTAAAAAGTGATATGCCGTAGGTCATACATTAAATGTATATCATGCTAGTGTTGTACCCATGAGTTTTGATACCTATTAAGTGCTGTTTATTATTGATATTTTTCCACAGGATGAGGTGCAAAGGTACATAACGTTTGCCAGGCAATTCAAGCCCACAGTAAGTTTACAATTTTGTTTACTTAGAGTTTTTGCTATTGAAGGTAGATGCATCTGTAGTAATTTGATACTTAAAAACAATTGACACTGTCTCAGCTAAGCTAGGTGGCACCATCCAAACTTAGTTATAAATATAAGTCGGTTATTTATGTGTAGCAATTGATTCAGGAACTGTTTTCTCTTAGATAAGCAAAGATGCCCAGGATTTCATTGTTGAGCAGTACAAACATCTGAGGGAAAGGGACACAAGTGAGTAGAACATTTTAAAAACGTTTAAAACAAACTTGCTGTAAGAGGTTTCTTTTGCCTTCAAGTTAGTCTGCTTTCTGACTTCCATGTTCCCGTTGACAGGTGTGGCGAGGTCTGCTTGGCGCATCACAGTGCGACAGTTGGAGAGTATGATCCGTCTTTCGGAGGGTATGGCCAGACTCTACTGCCAGGATGAGGTTAGTGAAGTGTAGACTTTACTGAAAATGCTCATACCCTCTTCTTGGAAGTCATTCGAAATTCCGAGGGGTGGGGTGTCTCAAATTCCAAACTATTCAACGGAAAGTTTTAAGTTAAACTGGAATTTCCAGATTTGATTGGGTAGGGGGAAGAGAAATTTAAATAAACCTTCCTTGGGGGTGAGGATATGGAAAAATATAATGATAACTATTCAAGTTAGATACATTGTGGTATATTGTTTTTATTAAACAAATCATGCATTATCAACTGCAATTTTCTTGATATAATTTTCTTGATATAATTATCTTTGGTGACTGTAATCTCATATTATACTACAGGTGCAACCAAAACATGTCAAAGAAGCATTTCGTCTTTTGAACAAGTCTATTATCAGGGTGGAAACTCCAGATGTACAGTTTGACGATGATGACGAGGAAGAGCCACAAGAAGGTAGCAACTTGAAAGGAAGAAAAAAATATTAAAATGTCTCATTGATATACTCAGTGGTGTTATAAAATTTGTCTGTATTTGTTTGAAGATATGGATGTGGATGCAGAAAGCGACACCCACCCAAGTGGCATGGTGAATGGTCACACAGACACAGACACTACCAAGACAGACAGTGATCAGAAGAGTAAATCCAAACTGCGCTTGTCGTTTGAAGAGTACAGGTCCATGGCAAGAACTATTGCGGGGCATCTAAGGGCTGAGGAGTACAGAGCTGGTGATGGTAAGTCATTGACTAAAGTTTATAAGTGATCAGCATTTTATTTCTCCTTAGCATATGCATATTAAAAGCATATGCAGGTTCTGAGAAGAAAGGATTTGATCACCAAGGGATGGTCTGACCCTCTCAGTCACAAGCTCAAAATACAAATTTTATTGCAGTGGTGGTTTAAAAAATTGGCATTTCATGAATATATACCAGGACAGGAAAAAACCCATGTCCGATTGCCCAGGGCAAGCAGATTTTGCTCTTGGGCAAATAGAAGTCAAGTGGCCTGATGGGCAAGTGAAATTAGCCTCAGTAGTCTTGTGAGTCTGAATAAAAATGTTAGCTTGATAAATGATAATTTCGTCAGAAGCTATTTGAAAACTTTTTAATGCAAGATTAGTTAACCATTGAGTTGAAAGCATGGATTAGTTGGGAATCCAAGCATACTTTGTTCACATATGTCCTCTGATTGCCATACTGGCTGCCATGTCAGCAAGTAATATTTAAGTGGGGGCAAGTGGAAACTGAAATTGATCTGCCCACTGGACATTGGGATTTCAATTTTTTTTCCTGCCCTGTATACACCTTATTTGATGGTTCAACATTATGTTCAGTTCCAGAAAATATCCATACTCCCCCCACAGAAGGTATTGGAATTTCCTGGGGGGTGGGGGGTTCTGTAAGACCAAAAAATTTAAAGAAATGTATGAAGCTCAATCAGAATTTCCAGAGGGGTGGGGGGGACTTAGAAAAATTTCCTTCCGTGGGGGAGGTATGGATATTTTCTGAAACTACACAATGCACAGATATTTTGCGCGTTGCATACCAATGAGCAAAATGGACTGCATCAATAAAAAACATGCTATCTTCTACAATATGTAAATTTGAGCTATACCAATAAACTAGGTACATTTTGAGAGGTGTTAAAAAAAAGAAACAAGTTATCCACTGGCCCATTCTGTGATAAACAGAATCTGTACACAGTAACAAATGTAGGGATCACTATCCAAACTGTGCATTTCATGAAACCCAGGCCAATTTTGATTATTATTGTAATAAGCACAAAGGGCATTATTGTGATGCTGCATTATTCTAATTCACAGATGATGCTGGTTTACGAAGAAGTGACATTGTGAATTGGTATCTCACAACAATTTTGAAAGACATTGAAACGGAGGAAGAGTTAGCCGAGAAGAAAATTATTGTGGATAAAGTACTGGACAGACTGATCACCCATGTAAGTTGGAATTGCACCTTCATTAAATTCATATTTAGCATTCATGCATAGACTTTTGAATTGTCCTTGTGAGGCTTAATTAGCATGTTTACACCACTTGCGAAGATATTGCTCAATAGCTTTCCTTTGAATGGTCGCACACTGCAGTATGTTTTCCACTACAGAGTTGACTTAGGCCCCAGCTATGTGGTCTCGGGTACCTGAGACAACCCTCCCCCTGAGGCAACTTTATCAAGTGTTTATATGTGAAAATGTAGTCCCTGTAGGCCGAGTCAAAGTTGACCGTACATGATTATTCATAATACTTATTGAGTAATCAAATGTGCAAATATCCCTCTTTCTCTGAGTTTTCCTCAGTCATTCAATCAAAGTGGGTTTTGTGGAGTTAATTTTCACTTCTTTTATACAAATTTCTGCTTTAAATCCTAAATCTAGACATTTTGTGACACTCACCAGGTTGAGAATTGTCTCAGTTAGGCGAGCCAAAGTATTTATATGAAGCAAAGTTGTCCCCCCTGCCAGGGTTACCCTACCTGCCAAGGCAAGACAACTCACCCACCCGAGTTGTTGCGGTTTCTCTCCCCCCCCGCAGACAGGTTCGCAATCGTCTTGTAAATGGTTGGTTGAATTTTGCTGCAAAGAAATAATTGAAAAGTTACCTTGGCTAGGGTAACTTGGTGGGAGGGTTGTCTCGGGTAACTGAGACCATATAAATGGGGCCTAAGAACTATCTTTGGTACACTTGACAAGGGCTTCATCCACAGATGCAATAGTTAAAACAACATCACATAACTGACTGACTCCATGAGGGAAATGGTTCATCAAAGGTATTTTTTTATTGTTCCAGGATAATGTTATTCTGGCATTGAAGGAATGGGGCGTGACAGAGGAAGATTATGTGCCATCAGATGAGGACGACCCTTTCCTTGTTGTCCATCCAAATGTTGTGGTTGATGATTTGTAAAAAAAAAAAGAGAGAGAGAGAGAATTCAGTAACCAACACATTTGCTGATACTGTACATAAAATAAAAGTTGGCTTTCTTATGCTGAGTTCAAATTGAACTCAAAGTTCAAGATCAATGAACCTTTTTGTGTGTTTAGGGAATTGCTCTTGTATAAGACCAAAATAGGGCAAACAAAATGAATTAAAAAGTATGGTTTCCTCAGTTCAGTGTTGTGAATATCTTAGCATAACACAACTCTAAAGCTGTCAACTAATAAAAAGAGCAGGTGGTTGGTTGTGGAACCAGGTGCAATTCCAAAATGCACTTGATGTATACTCCACTTGTTATGCTTTTTATGAGGTTATAAGTGTGGAGCATGGTGATATGTATACTTAGTGCTCAATAAAAATGTTATTTCTCACCTTTGTTGTTATATTTTTTGTAAAGTTAGTTTGATAAAATTTGTTTCTGTTGACCAGTGATAACAAGGCTGTAGACATTGGAATACCAATTTTTCAAACCTCTTAGGGAAACCAAAATTGGATTGAAAATCCAGTAGTTTGAGAAGTCAGGGGTAAAATTACAGTGTTTCACTGTGCGGGNGGGGGGGAAGCAGGGAATGGACTTTTGGTCTGAGTTATTGCAAGGTTAAAAAATCAGGGGTTCAAGAAATTTGGATTACACTGCATAAGGCCCATTGTATTTTAGATTGCTGTAAATCACAAAATAATGAAGATTATTGCTTGTTTCACTTTTTAAGAGGAAATAAAATTACTGACTCATGATTTTTGGTAGAATTTATTGACTCAACTATGATTTTATGAAAATTTTGTGTCAAAAATTAAGTCAAACAGTACTTCAACACTTCACTGCAACACACTTTTGCATCAATAGGTGATTTCCATGATATCATTTGACTACAATGACCAGAATCCTTTTTTTCTCATGCTAATTGGTGCAATCGTCATTTAAACCCTACCATGGTCTAAAAATTTAAATAATAAACGAGGACTGAATATCATTCTGGTAGTCAGTAGGAATGAACAAAAAACTCATTCCGATTACTCTGGTAGTTTAAGTAAAATGACGACAGTGCAATGTGACTCTTTGAAAAGCTGGATGCAGTTACTGCTCTATAAAGCTATTGGTGAAGGGTAGGCAAGTAAAAAGATAAAAATACATGATTGTGCAAGATTTGTTTCAGCTTTATAAATATACATGAAAATCTTGCATAAAAGCAGGCTCAAAATTGGACTTTATGCAGTTTATTGAGCTGTTTCCATTTCCAACACTTTTCCACTATCATCCTCCAAGTTTTTTTTTTTTTTGAGATCATCTTACTGTTTACAAATTAAAAGGCTCACTTTAAAACCCATCTTAGTCCTTTATGCCAAGAAGTCAAGATAAATTCTCTTTACTGGTATCTACACTCTTTCTTTAAATCTGGTAAGAAGAATTTTGGACTCAATCAAGATTATTCCCTGGTGACCCACTTTAAGAGAACACAGTGCTGATCAGGCTGGAACAGAAAAGTGGCAGTATTTTTATTTCTTTATTTTCAATTTTTTTTTTTTTTCTCACGCAGTAAACATGCTGGTCCATCAGCTGCAGCCATATGAACATTTTTCTCGTAATCCTCCTTTCATCTTTCTTTGCAAGTGTCCTCAGTTTTTTGGCAAGTTTAAGTCACTCATAACATCTTGTGTTGTCATGTCTCCTTGCTAAAAGGAATTGGCATGATGATGTTAAAACACTTGTGATGGTTATTCATCAAAGTCTAACTTTTCTTGTCTTGTTGCAACTAGTGTATATCCATCTAACAAGAGTTAAGGAATATACCGGTAAACAAATCTTATAACTTCACTTTACAACATAACAAGAGACCTTTTCACAATTTCCTGATGCCATCTTGATTGAGGGGCAAGCACAGCAAACATTACAGTAAATGTATAGGAAAAGTTAAAAGTTTGATGCCCAATAATTTGAGAGTGATTGGTTTTCTGATTTTCCGAGTTACAAGGAATAGAAACCCAGCAGAAGGTTTTTTGATCAAATTTTAAGAATGTAGATTTGCTAGCAGAAGATGAATTGAACTTTTTATTTCTCATACAAATGTCTCTAAATTTTCCTGTGCACTACAACTCGGTTTTACAGACAAATGTATTGAAACATGAAGACTTTAATTCTGGCTAAAGTTTCTAGCAAGGCCATTTCCCTCAATTAAGTTAATTGGCGAATTCTGTTAGTTTTTAGTTCATATATTTCAGAACGTGAATTTTCCATGAGTTGCTAAACATTGGATTCTCCACTTTTCCCATCCATTTACTGTAATTTTTGCCGTGTTCTGTCCCCTTAGGCAACATTGCATCAGATACTGTGAAAAGGCCATTAAAACTACAGTTCTGAACTTATTTAGAATAACAGTCTAGCAGTGGGGTCTAATACTAGTTACTGGTATTAGACCATACAAACAAGTCTAAAGAAGGACTTAAATCACTTTTCTGCTCTCCAAACAAAACCAATATATTATTCCTGAACGTTGTTCCGGGTAAATGAATACTGGGCTTTACATGACAAGTTTATCTCATATCAGTGAATGGACTGATATCCGCTCATCCAATTCAAGTGTGCCGTAAATCTGAAGATTAAGGGAAAAGCATGCTACACCATCTACGTGCATACTTGCCACACTTCAAAAAAATACACAAAACTTATTGTTAAGAACAAAGGGGAAGTACTTTTACACTGATTGCATGCCCATATACATTAATTCTCACCATGAAACACTAGGAATAATTTGAGTACTTCTAGCACTCACACGAAAGGTTTAATTGACATGTTCCATGAAGTGTAGATCCACATTTATTTCAGGGACGACTTTCAAGTGGCGGCATCATTTTTGTACGTAACAGGAAAGGGAAATACACATCAATGCATGCCCAGACACCAATATTATTCACTTCACCGAATGTTATGCAATGTCTAAGTCTACAAGCATGCGCACTAAAGTAGTTACTTATTTAGCATCAGCAGGTCTTTGAGAATTCAATATAATTAAGTTACAAGTACATGTTAAAAGCCCTCTCCAAACTTGAGGCCTGAAAGACGTGTGATTCCGCCATGAAGTAAGCCTGGAGACACATGATATTTTAGTAATAAAACAGCACCTAATCAGACAGGAGATTTCATTTAAGCTTTCCCAACGCCATAAACTCAACTGGCTCGGCCTGGCTGGTATAAAGGATAGAAACTTTGCGTAGAAAGCAACACGTTATTTCAGCTTTTCCGCGTTAAGCGTCTGGATCTGCATGCGCGATCGCAGACCTCCGCGATCCTTTCGGCTTGTTTTGAACAAAGAAGGATACAAATTCCCCCAACTGAGGCTAAGAGACAAGCAAATGCAGCTAGGTTTCTTCTTTTGATCTTTGCCATGTACTTTTGACGCAGGGTAAACCGTTCGTTAAGCATCTCCATTTGCTTTTTCTCCGCTTTAGTGAACTGTTCTCCTTTGTCCGCCATCTTGAAAATTAATCGCACGCGTCTCATGCGTTTTCACGCTGACCAACCTCGTGGAGTACGTTGGCCCATAAAATGACGTCATTTTATACCCCAAATAGCAATATCAAAACGAGGCTTCGCGTGACTTTGCCCCTCAGACTAATTTGCATTGACGTCAATTGGCTTTAAACCAATGAAATATTAGTTTATATCAACAGTTCCGGAAATTTCGCGATTGTTCATTGGTCTATTTTCTTATTATATTGTGACATCATCCACACAAAAATAGTTTGTTCCGCTATAAAACCCGAGTGACTCAGCGATTTCTTCTATCGGGTCACGAGGAAAAGATAGCTTGTGATTGTACTTCTCTGGCATCTCCTTTGAAACAAAACGTGTTTCATTCTGCTACATTCACTCCAGCTGGAAGACTGTATAAATAAGTCATCCCTCAAGACGCTACAGTTTTCTACAATTTCCACGAACGCGAGCAAAAGAATCGAAGAGAAAGGATTGGATAACGGACCTTGACAGAAATTTGTTTTAAGATTACATACAAGAACTTCTACTAAAAGCAACAATTAACAGACATGGCAGTGGGAAAGAAATATTTCGACTCTGCCGCCCTGCTCCAAATTACAGTGGCTCTGTCTATGATGAGACCAGAGCTTCAAGGATTTGTCGGACAAAATACAACGCCTCCGATGCCGGTGAATCTGGGCTATCCACAAAACTACACCGGAGTGGCTTTCGCTCCAAGCAGCACCAGCAACATGCCGAACTTCCACCTCGCCGCGAAGGAAGCCGCTGCAAACTACAACAATCCTCTGAGCGAGTTTTTAGACTGGCAGACAACGGGCCAAAATCAGTTCGACTCGGATGCCATAGCCATGCTCTTCAATGGAGAAAGCCATGCTCCAAGGGAGGCACGGACTTCGTTCAGCACCGAATTGGAAAGTGGTTACAGTTCGGATGGAGGTCGTTCACCGTCTGCTCTGTCGTCTGTGGGAGGTTCCCCTCAACACGAAGCAAACTTTGGAGATGTGCAAACCCCTGAAGCCGATTTCTTCGGTGCTACTGGTTTTACCCCAACGGAAGACGATCTGTTGAAATCATTAGATTTTGAACTGGAAGATTACATTGATCTAGACTCTATCTACGAAGGGCCGCCACAGAAGAAAGCGTTTTTACCTGAAGAACTCCCTTACCCAAATATCAAGACTGAGCCATTACCAAGCCCCGATGACACATATGGCAGAAAGTTTCCCAACTCTCCGCAAGATCTTAATGTTCTGAATGATCCCAACCGCAAGAACCCCTTTGAAGAACCCTTCAACCTCGAAGGCTTCGAAGAGCAATTCTATAACCCGTTCTCGATCGATTTCGCTCCAGCGAACGAGGAATTACAACAACCAGGAACTGAGACGGACACAGTGTTCGATTTTGACTCGTTCGCAGATAATATCGACTATAATGCCGATCTACCCCTCGACTTGTTTGACCCAAGACCGCAGGGGCAAACACAAGCAGTGGAAAGCAAACATGACAATCTGCTTCCCCTTGGCCAGGAGCCCTTGCCAATTTTTTCAGAAGCCACTGCAACGAGAAACGACAGCGGATTTCCTTCTACCGGTACGTATTTTCCTGCTTTAGATATTATCTTGCGAAAGAAAATCCTTAGTACACGTACATGTTAGTTACATAATAGCACGTTTAGTCGCATTCTTGCCTGCGAACAATGTTCCGCTTTCGTGACTTTGTTTTCGTGATCGAGATTGTTTCGAAAATTTTTTTTTGTCTCTTTGCGATTAGCTATCGTTACTCGTTCCGTAAGTTTAAGCTGTGGAACCTTTGTTAGCTTTGATGGTTTTCCTTAGAAACGGTTTCTATTTGTTTGACAAATACTCTCTTTCGATTATTTTCGTGACTTGCAGCTGGTTAATTAAAGCAGCTTATTGTTGTACCAACGAACCAATATTGCACTTTCGATGCGGTTGTTGTTCTTACTGTACCAATTAACCTCTTCGTTCGTCATAGGTGAACATGTCAATAGATATTGTCAGATCGCGTGATCTACTTTCAAGCAATAAAGGAAATGGGAGTTTGCCAAATGTGAGATTAGCGCAGCGCAGGAGCTATGCTAGCTGGGTGGGGCATTATTTGCAGGAGGGCAGATTACATATGCAGTAGATTCCGCTCTGTCAAAATTAAATGTCAAGCAAACAGATTTGGTTTCTGCCGCTAAACTTGTTTTGTTTGTTTTTTTTTTCTTTTTGTGTAAAACGTCTTTAAAATTTAATTTGTGTCATGCTAACAGGCTATTTTGTATCTTGTACTTAGATACATCCTTAACTACTGCCGTGAATGGAGAATGGCAGAGAGCTACTCTTCCTCTGTTGACAAGTGCAACAATAAAGCAAGAAAAACCAGAGAGTGGAAGCCTATCAAGGCCATCGACAAGTACACCCACTCGGTTCACACCCACAAAAGCTCCTAAGGATTTCACTGGTTCAAAGCCAGCATTTGTTGCTTCTGGAGCATCACGGTTCCCAGCATCAGAAGATGAAATAGTTGACATGAGCATCAGTGAATTCAGCAGCTTTTTGGAAACACTGTCAGATGCTGAAGCACAAAAGGCCAGGGACATACGCAGAAGAGGAAAGAATAAAGTTGCTGCTCGATTGTGTCGCAAAAGAAAGATCGAGCTCGTCAGTGACATCGAGGCTGACATTGACACTCTGCGAAAGAAGAAGGAGGACATTGTCAAGGAAAGAAAGAAACTCCAGGCTGAAAATGCCTACTATAGGAATAAAATAAGTGAACTAGAGGATCACCTCTTTCAAAGTTTGCGAGATGAGAGTGGCCGACCACTTTCATCAAAAGAGTACTCTCTTTTCCAAGGTGCTAATGGTAGTATATATGTAGGAAAAAACATAGATAGTGAATCAAGAGGCAAGAAACCTAGTAATAAGAAGTAATACAGATGTAGTAAGAATGGTGGTGTAAAATGATCAGACTTGAATGTTGTTTGAGCACAGATTTTCAGGTCGTTACACTCAAAGGATTTTGAAGACTCCTACTTCAGAATTTGAGTGGGGGTGCCAAGCACTTCATAGTTTACAGATGTCATAGAACACTGAATTGTTTGTATTCGTGGAGAAATACCCTGAGCCAGAATTTGTTACTTCTCAGTGGCCAAAAGTTGAGTAATACATCGCACATTTACCACTTGTAAAAAGGAACTCTGTATTTATTTAGCTGATGGAGGTATTTTCGGAACTGATTTTTCAAAGGAAAGTTCAAGTAGCCATCGTTGAAAAGTTATGTTGAGAATTTTGTCTCATTGTTGTATATGTCACTTTAATTTCAAGTTTCAACCAGAACTTCAAGTTCATCCAAATCATGATGTTCAATTTAATCACATCTTTCAAATACACTAGAAAATATAAACTTAGCTAGTGGACTTGTTGCTAGGGGTACATTTCCTGGATGGTAAGGTTTTCATGTTAAAGATCTGTCTTACGTTAAGAAAAGGCAGTAGCCAATATTGTATTGGTACAAGTGTTTGTTTACGTTAGTAAAAGAAAAACACACTTTTACATTTCTACAAAATACTAACTGTAAATTTTGTAAATAATTATTCATAGGTTAAATATTTGTTTAAAACTGTTTTTATAACTTAAGTATAGGATAAATCATCCAAAGAGAGTAGAGTCTGTAGTAGTTTCAGAACTTCCATTTTACGAGGAAAAAAAGAGTAAAACAAAGAAAAAAATTCATTAAATGAAACTTTTAAAGGAAGGTGTATTTGTGGAGTTTTTAATATTAATTACTGCAATAATATATAAGATGACAGATATCACCTTAAGTATTGCAGGGAATATGTGAAGAAAATGATGCCAGTAGTTATTTATTTGAATAACAAGGCCTTGAGCAAATTTAACTGTTGTAGAATTACCAGTGGCAGAATTTTCATTGATATTTACATTGGACTCCCACTTTTTTGAGTCTGTAGTGTTAGACTGAGCGGAGGGAGACAACTTTTGGTTCAAATTATGGGAAGGTTTGAGAAACCAAGGGTTTGGCAAATGAGCAATCAGGATTCCTCTCAAGTCTATACATATGGGTTATTGACCAGGCACAAGGTCAAGATGGCTGGATATTTGCCAACTTCCTTTTTCGCGTAGTTGTTAACCGAGACAGAGGCAAGGTCCATATATGTGCAATAAAGAACAAGACCAATATCCAGCCACCTTGACCAAACAAAGTTGGTCAATAAGGATTTATCAACTGGATATTATAAAAAACAAATTTCTCTTGCGGGACACAGTACATTATCAGGCAAGATATATGGGTTATTGACAAGTGGGAGGTCAAGATGGCTGGATATTGGCCAAGTTCTTTTTTTGAGTATTTAGCGTCAAGGTCTATAAACATGCAAAAAAAGAATGAGGCCAATATCCAACCATTCTGATGGAACAAGCTTGGTCAATAAAGGATTCATTATATGGAAAAAGAACACCATTTTCTTGCGGCACTATATTCCCTGTTTGGTTCATCTTGCCTGTTCACAAAGCATAAGCCAAATATGAAACAGGGATAAAACCTCTTCGCATGTACATCTTGAATCACTTCAACAAATCGATTCTTCGTGTTTCATAATTCACATTAAGATTGCAGAAAAGCCTAAATGCACAAGTGGAACAAGAGGTGAATTTGGGAAATTGCAGTCACACCAGGCAATCTAGGAGCTAAAATGCCACATGATTTGTTCAAACAAAATGCATAACATGCTGTTGTATTATATGTTGATTGGTGCAATCAACATGTAGATTTTGAGACAGAGAACTGGGTAAAAAGAAAATCCATTCAAAGGAGGCAACACGTTTTTAATGAAAAATATCTTAAAATTCAATGTCTTAGAATAGTATTAATTTTATTGATTACGTTTTGTAGTTTCACGTTTTGTAGTAGCCCTCACAGGGTAAACAGGTCACTTGCTTGTCTTCGTACTTTACAGGAAGAGAAGTGAGACCTCAATCTCTTCTCTTGTTGAGGTTCAAAGGGAAAAATCAGGGAGTAGTGAGCACTGTCTGATGGCTTAACCAAGTCAAGGCTATAAAAGAAAACGATGCATCTGGAGTGTACCAATGACTTTTAATTAATAGCCTCTTATAATTATTAGTTTTTTTAAGTAAATATAATAATAAAAAAGTTGACAAAAAGTACTTGCTATTTTTCAATATGCATAATTTTCAGGAAATTATCACCACAGACTGTTTTTATAAGTAATCCTCAGTTAATGAGTTTTACCCTTGTTTGTTAAATTTAAAAGTACTTTTTCATTAGCTATTAAGTTTGACAACGTCCTGGGAAAATCAAAGGCCCCTGTGAGGCAGCTCATGGATGAATGTTCCCTTGTGCTTTTGTTTCACAACGATTCTTCGTGCGAAACCTGAGTTTGATTGGCATGAAAAATGAACCTGTAGGTGGAAGTCATATGAATGGTTTCGCATTTAGACTCGTTTTGACACAGAGGCAAAAGGCAACTCGGAAATGACCTATTGGATGAATGTAGAAAATGTAGTAGAATAAAAAGAGGAGTGAAAAACAGGAAAATAAACATCTGTTGGTCAAATGTGATGCATAGGTTC